TTTCTTTCTTTCTTTCTTTCTTTCTTTCTTTCTTTCTTTCTTTCTTTTGGAATATGGGTTGTAAAGTATTTCTTTATAACATTCTGTATTTCTTTGGTGTCTGTTTCCCTGTTTGTTTTTGATTCTGTTAATTTCTTTCTTGTGGTTAGTTGGGCCAAAAATCTCTTGGTCTTTTTATCTCCTTAAAGAACCAGCTGTTAGATTCATTAATTTTTTATATTGTTTTCTTTGTTCCTATTTCACTGATTTCTTCTTTGATTTTTATTATTTCTTGCCATCTACTAGGCTTGGGTTGGGTTTAGTTATTATTGTTCCAGAAGTTTCAGTTTCATCATTACGTCACTTCTTTGGGTTCTTTTGGATTTCTTAGTGAGGCACTTGGGACTATTAATTTTTTTCTTAGAACTGCTTTTAATGTGTCCCAGGGAATTTGTTGTGTTGTGTTTTCATTTTAATTTAGTTCCAGGAATATTTTTATTTTTCTTTGACCCATTTATTATTCAGTAATGAATTGTTTAGTCTCCATGAGTGATACACTTAATAGATGTTTATTGTTGATTTTTAAGTTTTTTTGTTATTTGTTTGTTTGTTTTTGAGACAGGATTTCTGTGTGTGGCTCGGGATGTCCTGGAACTCTCCCAATAGCCCAGGCTAACCTCGAACTCACAGAGATCCACCTTGCCTCTGCTGCCCAAGTGCTGGGATAAAGGTGTGTGTTAATACTGCCTGGCTGATTTTTATGACATATGGACAGGTAGGGTGCATAGATTCCCTGTGTGTGTTATGATTTGCTTTGTGTCCCAGGATGTGCTTCTGTGTGCTGCAGAGGAGAATGTATATTCTTTGACATTTAGGTGGAATAGTCTGTAGATATCTGTCAGATCCATTTTATAAAAGAAATCATTTCATTCTTAGGTTTCCCTGCTTATTTTTTTTTTTTCCAGATGATATACCTATTGGAGACGGTAGGGTGTTAAAATCACTCACTATTACTGAATTTAAAAAAAGAAGAAGAAGAAAAGTTAATCTTTAAAAATTCTCAAAGGAATAATACCAACATGAACCATGTTTTCTGGGTAGTGGGATTGTGTTAGATTTTTTTTTCCTCCTCATCTCTGTATTATTCAAATACCAGTTTATTTGCAAGCATGAGTTTTTACAATGAATAACAACAAAAATTATTTTTATATTGCTGTGGACTTTCACCTTGCTTCGACAATATATTTTGGGTTTTTTAAGACTAATTTGGTTTTGATATTTTTATTTTCTCATATTAGTTTTTAGTGAACCTTGATTTCTTTTATTTATATCTTTTAGACGGGCCTCAAACTTGCTATGTAGCAAAGGGTGGCTTTGAATTCCACACCCAGCTCTTTTCCTCTCTTTATTTTTATTTACTGGAAAAAAAAAAGGGGGGGTTTTAGGTGGGAGCTGGGTGGTGATGTCCCACACCTTTAATCTAAGCACTTGGGAGGCAGAAGCAGGCAGTTCTCTGAATTTGAGGCCAGCCTATTTAACAGAGTGAGTTCCAGGACAGCCAGGATACACATAGAAACCCTGTCTTGAAAAACAAAAACAAACACTTTTTTTTTGTTAAGGTGGGAATCTCACTATATTACCCAGACTGGCCTGAAACTTCTGGGCTTAAGCAAGATCGGTCCACAGGATCAGAGATGCTACACTTCCTGCCACAGAGGGTCCTAGTCATTGGAATATAGGCACAGAAAGCTGTGCTTTACTAGTTCTGATGATTTAACACTTAGAGTATCTGTGAGGTTTACTCACTCCTCCCTCCTGTGGGAGAAACAGAACTTAAGATTCTTTGCCTTTCAGCTTGCCAGTGCAATGGACACAGCAGGTGTGTTAACCAGAGCATCTGTGAGAAGTGTGAGAACCTGACCACAGGCAAGCACTGCGAGACCTGCATATCTGGCTTCTATGGAGACCCAACCAATGGAGGCAAATGTCAGCGTAAGTCACATTGGTCAAGTTTGTCAGTCACAAGTCAGGTGGAGCAGTACAGCACTTGCTTTTGACTTAAATATCTTAAAGGGAAAAGGTCTCTTGGTTTGGGATACCTCCCTTCTTAATTAGGTTACATTGTTCAGCTGAGGGGCTGTAGAGATGGCTCAGTGGTTAAGAGTACTAACTGCTCTTCCAGGACACAGGTTCAGTTCCCAGGACCCACATGGCAGCTCACAACTCTCTGTAACTCCTGGTGATCCAACACCCTCATATAGACATACATGCAGACAAAACACTAATGTACATTAAATAAAAATTTAAAATCAGTTCAACTGAGGGGAGAGAAAAAAATGCTAAACTTGTGGGTTTGGAAGCAGCTAGCTAAAGCAACAAACCAACAGAGAAAGAGTTAGGCTTTTATTTACATTCAGCAGAAGTATAAACAAGGAGCTAAAATCAGAGAAGGTACTAACTGTCTTTGTTTCATTTACCCCCATGGAAGCACATCAGCTCAAGTCAAACAGAACAGTGTTGGGATGGGTGGTCATCTCACTGTGGAGGGTGCCAGGAGAGCAGCATTGTGGGGTGAGAGAGGAAAAAGCTGGGGAGAGGAAGTTCTGGGCATTCTGAGTCAGAATGAAGACAGTATCTTCAGTTTCCTTCCTCCATAAAGAAGTAGCACAGAGGCGTCTAAAAAAAGTCTTCTGCTGGAAGCCTCAGAATTGAGGTACATTTGAAAAACTGTGACAGCCAGGGGAACTCTCTTCTGAACTGTACTTCCCCCAGAAACTGCAGCACCTGGCTGTGCCCAAGTCTGCAGTGGTGGGTGTTTGTGTTGGGGGTGGGGGTGGTGACACCTGACCTCAGGACCCCGGTCTTTGTGATGGCTTGGGTTTGGTTTTATTTGTTTTTAGACAGGCTCTGAGGGAGTTGAAGGTGAGTTTGCACTCCTTGTCCTCCTGCCTGCAGCTCCCAAGTGTCCAGCCTCGCAGGCTGTTCTTAAGATATGAAGTTTCCCTATTCAAGTCTGAAATCTGAAAGCCATAGGCTACTACGTTAGAACATAAGTTAATGTGTTTTTAAGTAGTCACATGTATGAACTCTTTTTATTTGCTCTGGTATACAATTGAAAATATTATCAATGCTGTAGTTGAAAGACCCTGTAAACTTTAATTAAGAAAGTTCTCAGGCTGAGAAAAATCTCACAAAGGGAGTCAGGAGGCTCACAACTTTAAGATTGTCTTTAGCTATGTAATGGCTTCAGAGCCAGCCCAGGCTACATGAAACCATGTCTCAAAGAGGTGTGGGGTGAATACCCACTATGAGCCTCCGACCTTTGCATACACAAACATGTATGCACATGCCTCTGAATGTCCCCTCAGGAAAAAAAAAAAAAAAAAAGACATCTTTATCAGATCCCACCTCTGGATTCTTTACTGTGGCCCTTCAAAACCGATTCCAAGCCAGCCAGGAGTGAGAAGGTATTCTGGCTGGGTATCTCTACCCTCTCTAGGGTGTGGTTCTGGAGATTAAGACAGAGCAGTGCTTGATATGTCAGCAGCTCATCAACATGTGATCATTACCTGTGTGCTGTCATTTCCCACTCCTAAGTAACATTCCTGCTCAGGCTATAAGGTGTTCAGTACCATGTCTTAAAAAATGTGCCACGGAGGGCACAGCTGCTTGTCTTTGTGGGCCCTCAGATCACATCAGTTAAAGCTAGGTCTTTGACTTTGATATCGAAAACCATGGGCTAGGTAGTGTAGAACAGGTATTTAAGGCTAGAGAGATGGCTTAACTGTTAGAACATTTGTCTAGCATGCATATAGCCCAGGGTTCAATCCCTACCATTGTATAAGCCTACTATGTGTCATACCCTGTAATCACTTGGAAAGTGGAGACACAGGTATCAACCAAACAAACAAAAAACCAAACCATTTTAATGTACAAGGGTTGAGAGAAAGAAAAGCACTTAGAAAGAAAGACCTGTGGAGTATGTGTATAGGCTTCGCTACAATAGGCATATATAGGATTTTGATGGCCTTTAAGTCTGTTACCCTCAAAGAGGAACTGAGAAACCCAAGCGTGATCACAGTGGTTTCTGAGGGACACCTGGCAGGATTATAGGAGGTAAGAAAAGCTTGCTGATCACGGGGTACAGGGAGGTAGGACATCGTTAAGGCAAAGTTAACTGTCTTGTTTGAGATTCTTAGGTGATGTCTGGGAAGGGAAGAAGGCCCTACCCAGCATCATTTACGCTCAGGCCTTAAGTCTTAGTCATGGCTACTTGAGCATAAAATACTCATCTATGAAAAGAATACCATCTCTGTGTCATCAGTCTTCACAGCAAATATTAATTGTCCTGGAATCCTGCTTCTCAGTAAGTGGGAGTCTCGCAAGGCTAGGGTCAGGGGTTCTTTGCCTTTTCTATGTCCCTGTAATTTCCCCTAGCTTTCCATCTTGCTCAAACCTATTAGGTAATTATAAAAACACTAAATATTACTGAATAATAAATGTATTATGACTTTGTAGTGACTGCCACTCAAGAACTGGATGTTTTTATCTCCCAAATCAAGTAGCCTTCTGAAAGTCTTGCGGTGAAATGTAGACTAGTTGGGAGCCATATCTAGTAGGTGCTGGTCTTAACAACCAGCCTGCTTGTGTCTTCAGGTGACCATCCTTTGTCCTCAGTTGCCTCTAGAAAAATCCCGTTTTCCTCTCTAGTTTCTGCAGGGTCCTTGTATAGTTGTCTGGAACCTTGCTGTGCTTTTCAGAGTCCTGGTTCATAATAGAAAACGTTGTTGTTGTTGTTGTTTAACATACTATTGGTAAGAATATATATTGAATCTTGACATGCATTTTTAAATTAAAATAAAAAATTTTTTAAATGGTGCTTTGACCTTGATGTATTGCATGCCTACTACTTCAGATGCCATACATATACCCTTTAATCCTCACATTTGTCCTGTGAGGTGGATAGCATTACTGTCCACACCATTTAGACAAGGAAACAGGTCTCAAGTTAAGTTTCATTCTCAGAGTTACATGGAAGACAGTGGACTCAAATGCAAGCGAACTGACAAGACTGATTTTTATTAATGCAGTGCACCAAAACCATACTTAGAGAAAGAGTTTCCAACTGCTGCATTCATTCTGATAATCTCTGCACTGAAAGGTTTCTTTCAGTGATTTTATTTTTCTCCAGCCTTATAGTTTTCATTATTCCCAGAAAAACAAATCTCAACAGTAAAAGAGAAGGTAAAACAAGGGTGGCCAGTACTGCAGGGCCTCTGAAGTTTTACCTTGATTAGGGAACGCCATCAGTTCTGAACCCTCATGAATGTGGTTCAAAATGTGACCACATAGAGAAGATCCCCAAGACGAGGCAGAGGGAAGTCACCACCCACATCATCTCCACAGGACAAGGACCTGTCACATGGCATACTAGAAACGCTCTTAAATATTTATTGAACAAAGAAACATTATACTGAAAGTCTGCCACAAAGATAGAAATAGTGATTTCTCCAGATGGTGGCAGAAAATAGCTTTTTCTTTCCCCCTATCTTGAATGGTAGTCCCTTTAATGTCATCTTTATATTATTAGAAATAAATTATTAGCTGAAAAATAATGAAACTTACTCAGTGATTCCTCTTACTTTAGTCTGTCTTTCCTCCAAACCCATTTCAGGCTAAATGATTTTGTCTATGGTACTAATCCATCAAGCTGCTTGTGACCTGTGTTCCATTCCTTCTCCCCAGCATGCAAGTGCAACGGGCATGCATCACTGTGCAACACCAACACCGGCAAGTGCTTCTGTACCACCAAGGGTGTCAAGGGAGAAGAGTGCCAGCTGTGAGTACCACACTCTGTCCAGTGAGGGCCATGGGCCTGAAGCTGCCTGAACCCTGAGAGCCACCTGTTTGCCTGTGCTGTGTTGCCCTAGATTCCCAGGGTCTTTGAGTGGATTAATTTGCAAGTTTGCCTCTTTTGCTTTAGCTAGGTTGTCTCAGTTCATTGCTCTGATAAAATACCACAACCAAGGCAAAAGGAAGTATTTAATTTGGCTAGTGGTTGCAGAGCATTAGAGACTACATTGAGTTCCAGGCCAACTAAGGCTACATAGGAAAACTGTCTAAAAAAGAAAAAATAAATAAAAAAAAAGAGTAAGATTAGTTTGTATAAGAAGAACAGGATAGAAATGAGAAACAAATGCTGAAAAATTATTTTAGCTACACTTTTAGAAGAATATTCAATCCACATAAAAAAGAAAATGTGATTTTTCTTTATAAGTAGTATCTAGCATTATTACATATATGTCCTTGGGTAAGTAAATATTTGTTTATCCATTCTTTTTATACTGTTGCTGATGTAAACTGCTGAACAATTAGCAGATAAAATCATGAAAGTAGATTAGTCTGTCTGACCTGAATAATGATACAGTTTGTGTAAGAGGATCTGCTTGGGTTGAAAATAAATATAAATTCTGTGCTTTAAATATCAATAGAAAATAATTCTTTTTTTTTTTTTTTTTTTTTTCCGTAGATGTGAGGTAGAAAATCGATACCAGGGAAACCCTCTCAAAGGAACATGTTATTGTAAGTTTTCTAATTCTTGTTTCTAGAAAAAGAGTAGTTGAGCAAAACTACATCTCTTTTTTTTAACATGGTCTGAGAATGGTAAATGCTTGAGGGATATTTCAGGTGCTCATAGGTGTGACCCTGACTTGGTGAACACTATTTTAATTGTGGTCATAGTTTCTGCTATTTGGTCCATAGCAGTTAGCAGGGATATGCTTTCCTGGATCTCCTCATTTCAGTTCCCTCGAAAGCTTACCTCATTAGCCATTGCCTAGTGTAGTTTACCATGTCACATTTCAAGAGAGAAAACGGTGAAAGAATTTCTAAAATACAGGTGACATTTCACCATTCTCTCTGGAGCTGATTTGTGTTTAAAACATCGTTAGGAACACATAAATAAAACATCACTTTTTACCTTGGAGTAAAAAGTGAACCTGGGAAGGTAACCAGGTTTATGATAAATATTTTTTCCTATGAGAATCTATATTGTAGGTTCTGTATTCTAGAACAAGAGAAAAAGAAAGTAATCTCTGACATAGGCAGTATAATGCATATATAAATTGTAGAAGAAAGTGGGGGTGGTCTTGACCTTAGGAAGGAAAAGTACCTTTCTATAGCCTGGGCAAGTCATAAGTTGAGACCTCCTACATCGGCTTCCAAGTAGTTGGGACTACCAGGCCTATAGAATTCTTTGCTGTGATTCTAAAACTCATTTATCAAAGAAGATGTTACTGTGTACTTTATCAAAATTTAAAACTTTCATTTTTAAAAACTGGTTCTGCAAATACAGCTCAGTAGTATAGTGCTTGCCTTGAGAGGTCCTGTGTTCAGTCCCCAGGCAGGGTGTAGGGGCCCATGCTCATAATCCCAGCACCTGAGATGCTGAGGCAGGAGGATAATGTGTTTGAGGCCTATCTAGGCTACATAGTGTGAAACCTTTCTCAAATAATATTTACGCTTTTTTCCCTTAAAGTTTTTTTTCTTGTTATTCTATGCATGTGGATGTTTTGTGGTGTGTGTCTGTGTCTGTGCATGCCTATTGCCCTTGAAGGCCAGAGAGGGTGTCAGATTCCCTGTATCTGGAGTTACCAACGGTTGTGAGCTGCCATATGGGTACTGGTAATGAACCTGAGTCCTCAGAAAGAGCAGCCAGTGCTCTTAACTGCTGAGCCCTCTCTGCTATCCCACATTTCTGTTCCACCACCCCTTTAAATTTAAGACAAAGGTCTCACTGAGTAGCTTCAGCTGGTCTAGAACCCAATTTGTAGAATGGCTGACCTTGAACTCACAATAATCTGCCTGCCTCTGCCTCCTGAGTATTGGGATTAAAGTTGTATGCCATCACACCTGCCCATACAATTTCTATATTTGATAAAGATCTTTTCTTTTTTAAATTTATTTTTATTTATTACAATTTATTCACTTTGTATCCCAGCTGTAGTCCCTTCCCTCGTCTCCTCCAATCCCGCCTGCCCTCTTTCATTGATAGGGATCTTAAGACGAGGATATAGAGAAAACATAACTTACCATGTCACATTTCAAGATAGAAAACATACTTAAAACTGAGTAAGAAGACAATTACACTTAAAAGAAAAATTTGTAATAGCCAGAATCTGGAAACAACCCAGATGTCCCTCAGTTGAGGAGTGGATACAGAAATTGTGGTACATTTACACAATGGAATACTACTCAGCAATTAAATACAAAGAAGTCATGAAATTTGCAGGCAAATGGTGGAAAAGATCATCTTGAATGAGGTAACCCAGAAGCAGAAAGACGTACATGGTATATACTCACTTATAAGTGGGTATTAGGCATATAATATAGGATAATCATACTAAAATCTGTACACCTAAGAAAGCAAATTAAGGGGGAGGACCCTGGGTAAGATTCTCAAACTTCATTCAGAAAAGCAAATGAGATGGACATCGGAAGAGGGAGAAAACAGGGAACAGGACAGGAGCCTACCACAGAGCGCCTCTGCAAGACTCTACCCTGCAGGATATCGAGGCAGATGTTGAGACTCATAGTCAAACTTTGGGCAGAGTGCAGGGAATGTTAGGAAAGAAGGGGGAGATAGAAAGACCAGGAGGGGACAGGAGCTCCACATGGAGAGTAACAGAACCAAAAAATCTGGACACAGGGGTCTTTTCTGAGACTGATACTCCAACCAAGGACCATGCATGGAGATAACTTAGAACCTCTGCACAGAAGTAGCCCATGGCAGCTCAGTGTTCAAGAGAGTTCCCCAATAATAGGAAATCAGTGGCTGGCTCTTTGATCACCTCCACCTGAGGGGAAAGCAGCCTTACCAGTCCACAGAGGAAGACAAAGAAGCCAGTCCTGATGAGACCTGATAAACTAGGGTCAGATGGAAGGGGAGGAGGACCTCACCTATCATTAGACTGGGGGAGGGGCATAGGAGAAGAAGAGGGAGGGAGGGTGCTCTTGGGAGGAGATGGGGGAGGGGCTACAGCTGGGATACAAAGTGAATAAACTGTAATTAATAAAAATTAAAAAAAATAAACACATCAAAAATATGCTACATTATTGTATTGTGATTGGTGTGTTATATATTTAAAAGCACATAGTGAGATACAGGCCTCAGTTGACTAATCAGAAGCTAACACTGGGCTGGGGAGGTAGCTCAGTTGGTAAAGAACCTGAGTTTGATACCTAGGACCCATGCAGAGAGCCAGGTGTGTGTGTGTGCAGGGGTGGGGGTGGGGGGCTCACGGGCACAGTCCAGGCTAAGGAGTCACTGTCTCAGACAACAAGGTGGGTGGCACCTGATGACTGGCACCCCAGGGTGACCTCTGGCCAGCACACATTCCTATCCACAAAAAACTAGTTGCATGGCATAGTAGAAGACAGATATAATCTGGTTTTGCATGAAATCTGTTGTAATAAGCTTTCTTCTTCAATTAACCACACGGGGGGGAAAAAAACTGACCTCACCAGACAGAAAAAGGAGAGTGTTTAAAGCCAATTCAGATAATTATTGATAGTACCCCTAGTACCATAGTGGCTGGAGAAATAGGTCAGTTCTTAAAGATTAAAATCTATAAGCAGAAAATAGATTGAAAAATTCAAATCTGGCACATTGAAGTCTGTCGTTTCAGCAAGAATCTTGAGAAACTAGGACCTTCATATAGTTTATGAGAATGTTAAATGTTATAGTCACTTTGGAAAATCATTTAGTATGTTGTTTAAATAGTTGTTGTTTTGGGGTTTTTTGTTTGTTTATGTGTGTGTGTTTGTTTGCTTTGGTGTTTTGAGATAGGATTTCTCTTTGTAACAGTCTTGGCTCGCCTGGAACTCACAGAGATCCACCTGCCTCTGCCTCCCAAATGCTGGGATTAAAGGTGTGTGCCAACACATTTGGCTTCTCTTTTGTCCATTTTTAAGCCAGGTTTTTATTGTTGTTTTGTGCAGCAGACTTTAAGGTTGAATCAGTTTGCTCAGTAAGCACTCTTTGAAGCTGCATCACAGTGGCATATAACTGTTTTCTTCTTTCCTGTATTAAAATAATAATATTCTTTGTCCCAGGCTTTGCATCAACCCTTTTCCCAAGAAATCCTATTTTCTATTATATCATTAGTTGATACTTTTATATCCTTAAGCAAAAAATAGCCTGTATAGTTACTCAATATTTGTAGATAAGTTAGATTTGAGCCAAAATCTCAGTCAGGGTCTTGGTAAGGAAGGTTTGCCAGATATTTCAAAGGATACTGCAAAGATTTGGTTTCTTTTGGAAAATCTATGAGAATTGGCCATTAGTGGCACAAGCTTATAACTTGGGAAGCTGAGGGAGGGTCAGGAATTGAAGACCAGCCTAAGCAACATGAGACCCAGTCTTAAAAATCTTGAGGATAGATAGGTAAGTTAGTATCTGTTCATAGCTGTTGAATTTCTGAGAAAAACAAATTGTGCCACCAGAGACCTGTTTTATTTTGTATCAGTTCTTATTTTTTTAAATTCTTACTGTGTGTGGTGTGATGTTCCTGCATCATTTTTATGTATTCTTTCTTTCCGTAGATACCCTTCTCATTGACTATCAGTTCACTTTTAGCCTGTCCCAGGAAGACGACCGCTATTACACAGCCATCAACTTTGTGGCTACTCCTGATGAAGTAAGCGTTTTGTTGTTGGTGGTGGTGTTTTATTTTATTTTATTTAAGCTGTCTTGTTTGTGTTGAATTTTGTATGGGTCCTTTTCTTCGTCATCCTGGACAGAAGTACTACATAGAAGCAGAGCAGTATCAAAAAGTATTTTTTTTCATTTACTTGTTGACAGTTTTATATGTGTATATAATGCTTTGATGATATTCAAAACCTCTATTACCCTCCTTTATCTCCCTCATACTTAGTCTGTCTTCTCTCCAACAAGTCACCTTCCTTCCCTCGAGTGTGTGTGTGTGTATGTGTGTGTGTGTGTGTGTTTTAATTAGTTTACTGCTGACTGCAAGAGCATGGGTGGGAGGTTACTTACCAGAGCATGGATACCTCATCAGTAACTGTACCACTGAAGACAATGACTGCCTCTCCTCACGCAATCTTAAACTGCTAGTAGTTCCTCAGGGAACAAGGTAATATTTAGAATCTACATTTTATCTTCTTTCCCCTTAGAAGGCAAAGAGTACTGAATGTTTTTAAGTAGTAGAATAATATTCATGGTGTGTTTACTGTTAAATTAGGAATGTGTTTCTAATTATAAAATTTTAAAAAGCAGACTAGAAGACATTATTGAGTGAACAGTTTAAGATTTATTTTTATGTTATTTGTGTTATGAATGTTTTACCCACTCATATACCTGTGCATCATGTGTGTGCAGTGTGTGTAGAGGCCAGAAATAGGTATCAGATCTCCTGGAACTGGAGTCACAGACCACTGTGAGCCATTGTATGGGTGCTGGGGACCAACCAGGGTCCTCTGCAAGAGTAATAAGTACTCCTAACTACTTGGCCATTTCTTGAGCCCGCAAGAGTGAACAGCTCTTTAAGTAAATGTAAGTGATCTTGAATTAAAGTACTCTATTAAAAGAATCTGGAGCAGTACCTTAACTTTTTTAAATTATTTTTTTATGTTTATGGATGTTTTGCCTACATGTATGTGTGCCTGGTGCCCTATAAAGGCAGGAAATGAGCATTGGATCCTCTAGAACTGAAGTTAGAGATGGTTATGGGCAGCTATGTGAGTCCTGGGAATTGGACCCTAGTTCTCTGTGAGAGCAGCAAGTGCTTTTAACCATTAGCCCCTTTCTTTGGCACTTAGGTGCATCATTTGAATGGCTGTGTGAGTTATGTGTGAGGAGGTATATGTGTGCATACATATGTGTGCCCATTCCTGTGCTAGTAGAGGTCAGAAGTCAACCTTAGGCATCACTCTGTTGCTTTCCACCTTACTTTTTGGAAGCAAGGTCGGGTAGACCCCTTGGATCTTCCTGCCTTTTCCTCGGCAGTGGACCACACTGCACACTGGCTTTTTACATGGGTACTTCGGATCCAAACTCAGGTCCCCATGCTGTGCATCTCTTGAGCACCTTGACTGTATTCTTTTTAAGATCCTAGGGTGAGCTTATAGCAAAGTACCACAAGTGGAATTTGACTATCTTAGTCTTAAGAAAAATAAAAAAGGCTCAGTCTTCCAGGCTGTAATTAATAGTGTTTGTTTTATTTTTTAAAATAAACAAATAGCCAGTCATGGTAACTATATGTGTTGTACCAGCACTTCTGAGATGGAGGGCAGCTCCAGGCCAGCTTCAGCTACATAGTAAGGGGAGAGCAACCTGGCCTATCAGAGTCTGTCAAAACAAATCAACACTGCAGAATGTAATGCTTGTCAACAGGTAGCTGCTGATCTTGCGAGTGTTTGGATATTTCTTCATTCCCCTATTTTGTTGTGTTTTATGACAGATCTCTTACTAGATTTGTCCAAATATGTTGTGTATCTTTTACAAAATGACAAGGATTTTAGTCCTTCTTATGGAAAGACATAGTTGTTAGCTGTCAGCAGGCACTTGTTAATATAAATAAGTAAGCAGAGATCTGCCCTTGCAAAAAAGACAAGGTTTTCTTGAATGCAGTTTCTGCTTTGTGAAAGAAATATCTCATTTGGAAATCACATTTTGAAAATATTTTCATTGTGGTTTCGTGGTATAACTATCAAACAACATTTTTTTTCAAACAACAGTTAAAAAAGAAATCTTAACTTTCTAACCTGTTCTAAATACTTTTTTAAAATGAACATTTCCAGTATGGTTGGGCCAATTTGTAAAATATAAGAATACAGCATATAAGGCTAGAGAGATGACTCACTGGTTAGGAGCATTAGATACACTTGCAGAGGACCCAGGTACCATTCCCAGCACCCTCATGATAGCTTTCAACCTTCCGTATCTCTTGTTCCGGACATCTCATGCCCTTCTCTGACTTTCTCCATCACTAGGCATGCACAAGGTACACATATATACATACAGGCAATAACAGCAATACAAATAAAATAATTTTTTTCCAAAAAATAATATAGTATCTGATTACCTTGCAAAGATAATTATTTGGTCCTGTCTTAATTACTTTTCTATTGGTGGAACAGAACACCATGATTAAGGCAGCTTTTAAAAGAGAGCATTTAATTTGGTGCTTACAATCCCAGGGGGTTAGATTCCATGAGCATCACAGCAGGGAACATGGCAGTAGGCAGGCATGGTGCTGGTGTAGTAGCTGAGAGCTCACATCTGACCCTCAAGTAGAAGACAGAGAAAGAAAGCTAACTGGGAGAGGCTTGGGCTTTTCAAACCTCAAAGCCTACCTCTAGTGACAAGGCCACACCTCCTCATCCTTCCCAAACAGGTCTGTCAACTGGGGACCAAGCATTTAAATATGAGTCTGTGGAGGTCATTTTCATTCAAAGCATCACAGGCCCCAAGAAAGATTTGTTAGTGAAATTTCAGTGAAAACTAAAAACAGCATTAGAATTTACCTAGCACAGTGACTTCTGTCCAGCTCCATGGAGCCTCAGAGATAAAACCTCATCAAAACCAAGAATCAAAATGAAACTGGCTCTTTGAATTGCTTCGTACTCAAACATATTTCTCTTATAATAATTTTAGTGAGAGAAAGATTTTCTTTGTTTTATATTAATATTTTAATTATGTATTTAATTAATAGTTATTTCTGACAGAGGGCAGGTGAGGATCTTTTTTTATTCAGCTGACATCTGATAAAGCACTGGATTCTACACTTCTCTGGAAGGCAAATTAAATGTTATCTTCAGTTTATTGCTTGTGTTGAGGAAAACTGACAAGAAATGTCACCTCTTTGCATAAACATGCATATCTCTTGACATGTAAAGTAGTCTGTAATTAAGGTGTTTGAGAATAGTAAGACCTGATTGTTGCTATATCTTAAAATCTGAAAGGTATTAACTATTTTCTAATTATATGCATTTCTTCATCAGCAAAACAGGGATTTGGACATGTTCATCAATGCCTCTAAAAACTTCAACCTCAACATCACCTGGGCTACCAGCTTCTCAGGTAAAGACACACCTAAAGAAATGATGGATTGGCAAATGTTGTGTAGGAGTTGGGGAGCAGGGCTCTGAAGATAGATAAATGAACTCAGCATTCACCTTTACCACCTAGCAGCCATGGCATCTTGAGCAAGCATGTAAAACTCCTCTCTAGACCTTGAGATTACTCGGGATGAGTAATCACAGTGCTTGCCTCCAACACTGTTGGTTCAGGTTTGTTGGGTGGTCGCCCTGCTTTGCTACCCCCCCTTATGCTCTTTCTCTGCCACCTTGTACCACTATGGTCATCTCTGTGTCTGTGTCTGTGCTTCACAGGTGAAAAATTAAAATCACTCATAGCTTTAAGAAATGAAAGCTCGTTAAATGAAGAGTGGTTTTAATATGTAGAGGTGGACTCACACCAACTCCTAACAGCACAGCATTTCCCTCTGGCTCACCTGACAGTGACTCACTAAAATTCTGATGGCCCTGGTGCAGCAGTTAGGATCAATAGCTTCTCCATAACTTGACAACTCTGTAGCTGGACCTAGGTTTTAAATTACCTGGACTGTGGAGTTGAAGAAGTTGCCTAAGCTTTGTTTTCTTGTTAAGTTGTTTAAGTTTGTTTGTTTTGTCTTATAAGTGTTTGCCTCTGCCTGTATGTATGCAAGTATACATGTATGTGCAGTGCTTGAGAAGGCCAGAAAAGGGCATCAGGTCCCCACCCCCAACTGGAGTTGAGACAACTGTGAGCAATTACATTGGTGCTGGTAATTGAACCCAGGTCCCAGAAGACCAACCAGTGCTTTTAACTGCTGAGCCATCTTGCTCTAGACCCAAGTTACCTAAACTTTCTGATCCAGTTTCCTTCTGTATAAAATGATGCAGTTAAAATACCTTACTATGTACAAGGGTATGCAACCCTTTTATATTGCAATGTGACATCTACAAATACTCTGGGCCACATTTATAACTATGCCTGAATTGTAGAGTATTACAAGGAATAAATAAAATAAAGGAAGTACTTATTGTAGAGCTTGAAGTTTAACTCATGCATAAAGAAATGCTTTTTTTTTTTTCTTGAGTCTGTACATGCTCATGTTCTTGGCCAATGGAGTATATAAGATATGGTAGGACCATTTGGAAACTGAGTTACACTAGTTAGGACCTGAATGCAGTGGTTGCTGGTAGCAGAAGGAAGGACTGAGTGGTTGCTTGAGCACCTTCTTCTCTGTTGAGACTTGAAGACATTTCTGCTTAGAAAGTAAGTGATGGGTGAATAGGTGTCCCTGGTACAGGGGCCTTGAACATTGTCACAGCTGACAGTATGAAGAAGAAATACAAAGGACTTGAGGTGTTACGTTCAGAGTGAATGCCAGTGCCTGTTTTCTGTGTGTGGAGGTTTTGCTTACATGTATGTCCGTGCATCACTTGTGTACCTGGTACTCATGAAACGAATTACTGAATGATTTCTTGGAACTTAAGTTTTTCTCATCTATAAACAAGAATAGGGAGCTGTTGTATGGGTTAGAGACGGTGCTCATAAGACCATTCCTTTGACATTGTAAGTGGTCAATAAACTCTTATCCTTATTACTAATAAGGGAAGATTCTTTCTATCATGCCCCTGATCCAAAAAGTCTTTATTTTCTTTCTTTGCTTCCTTCTAGCGGGAACCCAGGCTGGAGAAGAGATGCCTGTTGTTTCCAAAACCAACATTAAGGAGTACAAAGATAGCTTCTCTAATGAGAAATTTGATTTTCGCAACCATCCAAACATTACTTTCTTTGTTTATGTCAGTAATTTTACTTGGCCCATCAAAATTCAGGTAAGAACGGCTTTTTACCCTCATTCTTGTAGAGATGAAGACATCTCTTTAGTGAAGACTAAATTCACTCACTCAGAATCCATGGTGACTGGAAGACACAGTGTTGCCTTGCCTTGGCAGGCTCTTTGGCATAAGACTGTGAGCAGCACATGAGCATTGTTGTTGGGGCTGGGGAGGTGCTTAGTGAGTGGAGAGCCTGGGGCCAAAGTGTGGGCGCCTGGATTGCATCCTCAGCACTCTCATAAAAAGTGGGACATGCAGTGCATGTCTGTCACTCCAGCCCTGGGAGGCAGGAGACAGGAAGATCCTGGGGACTGGCCAGGCAGTCCAGGATGAATCTGGGAGCTTTAGAGTCAGTAAGAGACCCTGTCCCATAAAATAAGGTAGAGATTAATTGAGGAAGACACCAATGACTTCTGGCCTCTGTGTGCTTGTACACATATGTATACCTTCATGCATGTGCGCACACTCAGAGAAAATATTCTGAGTGTCACATCACTTGTGAAGAAAGTTTCAGAGCAGTTTTAAAAACAAGTTGAAAGCTATGCAAGGTGATGCACTTCTGAAATCCCAAGACATGGACAGCCAACATAGGAGGATCACCCTGAGTGTGAGAACATAGCAAGACCTTGCCTTAAAAAAATTAAAAAAAGAATCAAATTAATTAACATGTAGTTATGTATTTATTCTTTGAGTACTTGCTATGTTAAAGCCTTTAGAAATATACAGTTTTAATTATGGAATTGAGTATAAATGAAACAAGTACATGTAACCAATAAAGTACAAATACATGACATGAGATATCAAAGTGGTATCATAGTCACAATTCAAGTAGATAGAGGAGGCAGCAGTAGACAGTATGAGCAGCTGTGTGAAGACAAGCTTTGCAGTTGGACAGACAGGGGTTGGATACTTGGCTCCTGTGCAATTCATGGAGCCTCTGTTTATGTGACCTGAAGGATAGTCACAAGGATTAGTGTTGCCTGCTGTGACTTTTGGTGTCAACCTGCTCCTCAGGTCCAAGGAGACGACTGTCTCTATCCAAGACCCATGGCCCGTTTGGACTTGTTATAATCATGTTCTTTAAGTTCTTGCCTCAGTACTTCCTGTTCCTTATTTCATTTTGGCTGAATGTGCTGTCAAGGAAGTGTAGCTTCTGGGCAGGGTCTTTTGCATTTTCACCCAGTCAGCTTCAGAAGTCAGTACCGATCAACAGCATGGGTCTGGAACCTAGTTCTTGCAGGTATGTCTCCAGGGGACTTTGGATGAAGACAGGACTTACATTGTCTTTTCCATTGCTCCTTTTTCTGTCTAGATGATCCCAGGACTTTTCATCTTCACTGCTTCTCCCTCTGCTCTTGCAGTTTCCTTCCTCTGCCAGTCTTTTAAGCAAAGACTCTTTTTCTGTCTCTTTCTATCTGTTTGTCAGTGCACAGTATAGCTTTTTCCTTTACCATATCTGAAAACTGTCCTGTCACACACAACCCACTTGAGGCATTGTCTTGTGTTTCTCCCTTCCATTCTGTGTTTTCTGGTCAGCCATTTTGGGAATTCACTTCATTAAACACTGGGGTAGGCTACAGTTCTGGCCTTGATCTTCTTGCTTCAATCCACAGAGATTACTGGGTGACTCATCTCCTGGCATGTACTAGTGCTTCTCAGTGCTGTCTCCAGCCTGGCTTCCATGGAGATGTCACAGCAGTATTTGTGTTGCCTTGACATCTCTCCCTGGGTGTTCACAAAATCCCTGTGCTCCGTGCATAGCCATCTTTATTAACTTAGTCCTGACATCCTGTACTGCCCTCCCCAGTGACTATGAAGACTCTTCTTCCTGTTGCACAAGCCAGTCTATTGTATTCCTGCTATAATTTGGGCATTATGTATTATTTCCTCAGTTCATGCATAATTAGATTCAGTTTGCTAATACCTGTTTGATTTTGCATCTAGGAGAATGTCCAATAATTTTCTTTCCTTATTCTTGTTATGGTTTTGATATCAAGGCTAAATTAAACTAATCTTTGAAAATTTTTTATTACATTTTTTTTTTTGTGTGTGTGTGTATGCGTGTATGTGTGTGGGTGGGTGAGAGGAGAACTTTCAGGACTCAGTTTTTTCCTTCTGTGATAAGGTGACAGGGGATCAAACTCAGGTAGTCAGGCTTGGTAGCAAGTGCCTTAACTGACCTAAACTAATCTTTAGTAATTACAATCCTGGGATTAAAGGCTTGTGCCATAATATCCAGCTATTTTCATCCATTAAAAAGACAAATTACATGAATATCTGTACTTGATAAGTCATTTGTTTCTAGTATTTTCTTTATAGAGACTTTTAAAAAATCTTGCTGAATCAACTTTTTAGAATATTTTCTATTTTTTTTCTAAATGAATCATTTTGGCATTTTTTTCTTAGAGAATTATTTGCTTCTCTTAAATGTATTAATACAAACTTGTCCACACTTTCTTTGTACCTAATTATTGCAGCAACTGTTCTTGTATAAACCATTCTTACAAATCAATGTCCCCAGTAGCACCGTTCTTAATAGTATAAAGGTGGAAATAATCCAAGGACCAATCAACAAATGAGTAGAAAAAGAAAATGTGTATATGTACAGTGAAATACGATGCAATCTTTAAAAGAAGTGAAGGAGCTAAGACTAAAGCTGATATATGCCCTGACATGGGCTGGGGAGATAGCTCTGCAGGTAAAAATGCTCGACTCACAAGCTTGATGACCCACGTTGAGTCCCAGAACCTGTAAAGGCCCAGAGGTGAATGCAGTTGTGGCACCTTAAACCCAGCACTCTGCAACAAGTTAGAGTCAGGGGACCTGGCCAGAGTCTCAGGGGCAGTTAGCTCAGGTACTCAGTACAGCCACAAAACACAGTGAAAAGAGAGAGCTGCCTCCTGGAAGCACTGTTAGTGACAGGGTATAGTCACTAAAGGACAAATGCTGTTTTGATTCCACTTATGTGAAATATTTAGAATACACAAGTTCGTAGAGTGAGGATATAGATTGGAGATTGACAGATACTGGGGAGCAGAAAATAAAGTCACTGCCTCCAGATTATTAGAAAGTTTTTGTTTGTGGTGAGGGAAAAGGTTTGGAAGTAGATATTTGTGTTATACACAATTGTGAATATAATTACTGTTACTGAATTATACAATTTGAAAGTGGTATAAATGGAGGCGAGAGAGATAATTCAGCAATTAAAAGCACTTGTTTCTCTTGCAGAGGACCTGGTTTTTGTTCCCAGTGCCCACATGGTTCTCAGAACCATCTGTAACTCTAATTCCAGAAGATTCAAGATCTTCTGACCTTTGAACATGGTATACATACCTAAATGCAGGCAAAGCACTCACACATATAAAACAAAATAATTTTTTAAATGTTTTAAGTGATTAAAGGGAAACCAAGCACAGTGACGCTCGTGGTCCCACCTCCTTGCGAGCCTGAGGCATAAGAAGCTCTTAGGTCAGTAGTGTAGGGCCTCTCTGGGAAGCACAGTAAGATGACCCAAAAGCAAATAAGAAAGGTTAAAATGGTAACCTTTATATGTATTTTACCACAGTGTAAAATAAGTTCACATACACACACAGATGTTATAGGATTTAGATGAGAAAACAAAAATCATAGAACAGATGTCACAATTTTGAAAAGGACTAGAATGGGAGGGAGCACTGTAACCAGGGTTAAGGCTTCCTATTTCAGTGCAGTGACTAAGAAATTCCAGTGGAGGCTGGAATAGTAAGAAACGCCAAGACTGTAGCTTTAGAACCAGAAATAAAATCATACAAAGATGTCAGCTGCTTTTGGACAAGGATGCAAAGGCAATGCAATGAAGGAAGTGTGCCTTTGCAACAAATAGTACTATCACACATGACCAACTGTAGGTGAATAAACAAACTTCAGTCTCAACTTCCCAGGGTATACAAAATTTACCTTCGTATGGTTCTAGGTGTAAGATATAAGACTCGGGGCTATAGAGATGGCTCAGCTGTAAAGAGCACAGCTGCTTTTGCAGGGGACCTGGGTTTGACTCCCAGCACCCACGCAGGAGCTCACAATCATCTGTAACTCCAGTTCCAGGGAATCCAGTTCACTCTTATGCTCTCCAGAGGCACCAGACACACAGATGGTGCACAGATATACATACAGGCAAAACACCCACACACATACAAACATTAAAACATTATTAAAAAGAAACAAAACTTTAAAATTATTAGAAAAAAGTAGAGAAATCTAACCCCAAGGACAAAGCGAAAGGTTTTTAGACTTGATATCAAAAACATAATTCATGAAAAGAAAAATTAATAAATTGGTCGCTATCAGAACCATTTTTCTTTTTTAGGATTTATTTATTTAATGTTTGAATGTTTTCCTGTGTGTATGCAGGTGGATCTCTTGAGCTCAAGGCCATTCGGTTCCAGGCAAGTGAGACTACATAGTGAGACTTTGTCTTTTTAAAAAAAAAGGATGAAAAGGCAAGCTACATATCAGAATAAGATTATTTACAAGCGATATACTAGTATTTACTAGAATATAAGAACTCTCAAAACTTAACAATAAAGGCATTAATAAGTAGTCCAATTGGAAAATAGTCAAGTGACACAGAGAGAATTTGCATATGTTGATAACGCCATGAAAAGATCTGTGCTGATAATCACTGGAAAGGAGAAGAAGCCCCAGTGCGCCAGTGTGGCCGCTGGCCATGTAGGATGATTCAGCTACTCTGGAAGATAAGTTGACACTTTCTTACACAGCTAAATCCTGGCCATTTATTTGAGAGAAATTAAAACCAAGGATCACATAAATACATGATATACAAATGTGTATAGCATTTTACAGCTGATATACAAATGTTTATAGCATTTTATAGCAATATTTAGCAGCTTTATTTGTAATAGCCAAAATCTAGGTAAAACCCAAATATTCCTTAACAATTGAATGGCTAAATAAACTGTGGTTCATGTACTCTGATGAATGATTGGCAGCAGTGAAAA